GCAAAACGTTCCCAAAACCCAAGTGTGTCATGCTTCAACGTACGTATAGACTTAGCAATCACATTTACTACTAGTACTAGATAATGCAGGATAACGTTAGGGGCGCTATTGCACTTTCGCACCTCTACCAGTTCCCGTTGTCGTAGAGACCTGAAATTTTCAGGGGATGTTAAGGATGACTAGCAATGACCACACAACAAATTTCAGTCGAATCGATCAATAACTTTTTATTTTACCGACCTTTTAATTTCTAACGGGAGAGAAGTTCATCCCTTCGTCGCCATTTTCTTTGTTGACGATTTAGATTCGAATAACAAGACACTAAGATGGATCCCGACACACTGCGCTAGCTGCTTAACACTGCAGTTCATAAAATTTAATAATTATTTTCGTATATTTTAACTTTTGCGCTAAGCAACCAATATCTATAAAATATTATTTGGCATTGACCAGTTGGATTGGCCGTTATGTGTGAATATCACCGTGACCTTGACGCTGACCCTGACTTCAAATTTTCCATCAAGCTCGGGACCTCCGCGCTTTGTGCTGCGCCTTTATTTCTTGCTGTATTATCGAGGTTAATGTCCGGGGTGAAAGCAGAGAATTCAAAATTTTCAAAGTCAGTTTTTGGACATTCGACCTTCACTCCGTAACCAATTTAAATAGCCATCATCGACCTGCGGGCTATTAAATCGATCGTCCCTTACAAGTCAGTTCACCCGAGTCCGTATTTCTAGCATTAAATACACAGTTAAAGCCCCGTACATATATGCCAACCGTTATTACGAACATATATTAATACGGCAATTCGTTTTTCAGACTTTTTACTAGTTTTATATAGTTAACAACCCATATACACCTGACAGCCTGTCCATTATTGCAAAAGTTCGTTCTCCAGCCGTTCTGGTAGATGACGCGTAAGTCTAACAGACCGATAATTCCATCGTCCGTTAATCCGAGGGAGCCATGGTGGCTAAGTGGGTAAGACACTGGCGCCCTACCCTGGAGGTCGCCGTTCGCTCCCGGTTTTGGTAGAGAAGTTCATCGAGATGTTCCGGATTGGGTCCCCCTTCTCGGTGGTGCAGGCGGATGGAATAACAGCTGTCTAGTCGTTTGGATGGGACAAAAAACTGAGGTCCCGTCCACAATTTAGCATTTACGTAAAAGATTCTTTGACAGTTGGAATTCGATATAAGAGTGGACTGTGGCACCGCTGTCCGGACAAAATTTCCATCATTAGCACACCGTATGGCATATGCCCGTCTTCATTAACCCCGTCGGAGCAGACGCCATTTCATTTCTTTTCATTAATATACAGTTATATACAGCGTTATCAAGAACTCCTGGTACTTTCGTACAGTATAGACTTATTGCAGACATATAGAGGCTGAACTATGTGACGCTATGAAAATATTATAAATTTTCCACCCCTCCTTAGAATATTAAGTAACTTTTGTTTGAAGTTTGACACCTGTTAATACGCATGTGTTGATAAATGTAATTTATAGTGGAATGACTTTACAATAATATAAGTATTGTGTATTAAAATTTGTGTTAATAATAAATATTATAAATATCAATTGTGACCCAAAACCCTCATTTCGGTGCAGACCCCCCTTTGATTTTATCCTAGTCATTACGTTATACTATAGCCAACGTTAATAGATATTATACACCACCCCCCCCCAATCTCGCTGTAAACTGCAGTTTCGTTCTATCGTAGTGATTATGTTATTCTGCAACCAACGTTAATATAATTATACACCACCCCTCCCCTTTATTGGTTATCTGACTATAATGTTAATTCTATTAAACCATATTGGATTATATACACTATTTTAATAATCTAAACACGGCACCTCTGCGTTTCACCGTTTTCTGACCAAGCAGTGTGTGAAAGAACCCCGGTAAAGGTTGGTGGTCCTAGCCACAGTGGTGGCGTATAATATTTTGTATGAGGTCAAGGTCGTAAGTCAAGGTCAAATGTCTCAAAACTGACTTTGAAAAGTTTGAGTTCAGTTTTCTGTAACATGACCATGACCCACGACTTTGACCCATTTATCTTTTCTGCTTTCATCTCGAGCATTAACTTTGATAATACAGCAAGAAATAGGGGCGCAGCACTTATAAGCCCAAAGGCCCCGAGATGGATGGGAAGTTTGGACTCAAGGTCAAGGTCATGGTTGGTTAGCTTTGACTAGTGGGGGTTTCATATTGACCGCACCCATTGACTTCCTTTCGAACATGGGCCCTCTGCGTTTGCCTGTTTTCTGACCGAGCAGTGTGCGACAGGACCAAGGTAAACGTTGATGGTTCAAGCCAAGGTGATGTCCTTTTAAAATTGTTATGAGGTCAAGGTCGTAAGTCAAGGTCAAATGTCCCAAAACTGACTTTGAAAAGTTTGAGTTCAGTTTTCTGTAAGATGGCCTTGGCCCACGACTTTAGCCCATAAACCTTTTCTGAAGGACGTCGTCTCTGCTTTCATCTTGAACATTAACCTTGATAATACAGTAAGAAATAGGGCCACGTCTAGCATTAACGCAAAGGCCCCGAGATCGATGGGAGGTTTGGACTCAAGGTCAAAGTCAAGGTCATGGTTGGTTAGCGTTGACTACTGGAGGTTTGGACTCAAGGTCAAAGTCAAGGTCATGCTTGGTTAGCGTTGACTCCTTTCGAACACTGAAAAGTTTGAGTTCAGTTTTCTGTAACATGAACTTGACCTACGACATTGGCTCTTTATCTTTTCTGAAGGACGTCGTCTCTGCTTTCACCTCGAGCATTAACCTTGATAATATAGTAAGAAATAGTTCCATAGCAAGCATAAACACAAAGGCCCCGAGATGGATGGGAGGTTTGGACTCAAGGTCAAAGTCAAGGTCATGGTTGGTTAGCGTTGACTACTGGAGGTCACCACTACCTTTCACATTGACCGCACCCATTGACTTCCTTTCGCTTGGTTAGCGTTGATTCCTTTCAAACACGGGCCCTCTGCGTTTGACCGTTTTCTGACCGAGCAGTGTGTGACAAGGCCAAGGTAAACGTCGATGGTTCAAGCCACGATGATGACCTTTTAAACTGGTTATAGGGTCAAGGTCATAAGTCAAGGTCAAATGTGCCAAAACTGAGTTTGAAAAGTTTGCGTTCAGTTTTCTGCAACATGACCTTGACCTACGACTTTAGCCCATAAACCTTTTCTGAAGGACGTCGTCTCTGCTTTCATCTTGACCAAATCATCTTTCCTTAAGGGCATCTTCTCTGCTTTCACCCCGGACATTAACCTCGATAATACAGCAAGAAATAGGGGCGCAGCACTTATAAACGCAAAGGTCCCGAACTTGATGGAAAATTTGAAGTCAGCGTCAAGGTCACAACGATATTTACACGTAAAGCCCAATCCATCTGGTCAATGCCAAATAGTATTTTATAGAAATTGGTGGCTTAGCGCAAAATTTAAAATATACGAAAATTATTATTAAATTTTATGAACTGCAGTGTTAGGCAGCTAGCGCAGTGTGTCGGAATCCGTCTTAGTGTCTTGTTACTCGAGTCTAAATCGTCAACAAAGAAAATGGCGACGAGCGGATGAACTTCTCTCCCGTTAGAAATTAAAAGGTCGGTAAAATAAAAAGTTATTGATCGATTCGTCTGAAATTTGTTGTGCGGTCATTGCTAGTCATCCTTAACATCCCCTGAAATTTTTCTTGTCTCTACGACAACGGGAACTGGTAGAGGTGCGAAAGTACAATAGTGCCTAACGTTACTATAATTATAAATACATAGGTCCATGTTAAAACTAAACAAGGAATAATCTCCAAATATATCGATAATTATACCGCAATATTCACATAAAAGCCTTAAGTTAAAGGAGCAAAATTGCTAATATTTGGGACCTAGAAGTTGACACAGATGGGTCGCAACGCATATGTAATATGAATGTATGTTTCCGTTTTTACTCTAATTTCAAATCAGTTATAGTTATAATATTCGGTGAAATACGCCGAAGTCTCAACCGAATGGCAATCTCTAGTGTCTGATTATTCCTGTCTACACAGATAGTATTTAATGCGCATGGTCTCTAGATAAGAATATGACGTCACGGTTTGACATGACTTGTGGAATATGTCTAGCCTTATTCTTCGAGTCGCATGTTACAAATGGCACTGAAATGCATTATGGTACACGATTCATGTACCAATGGTAATATGTTTATTTTGTCTTAAATATTGGATATCAGAAGCCCATCTTTTCCCGGTAAGATCACAATATCAATGTTGATTTAAATTGACAAATAATTCCTATTGATATGGAGTTAGAGAATTCTGACTTAGCTACTTTTAATGAGTGAAACCTCTAACTCAATATTTTCAATAAAATTGGAAATTAAAAACACAAATTAAAATTCAATATTGGTCCATTTCCCAGAAGTTTATATCTTACCGTGAAAATATGGGATCCTATTCTAATATTCGATATTAAAGACCTAACGAACATTTTAAAATCAGTACACGAGTTGTTTATTTCTATGGTTTCGGCACCATTTGTAATGAAATGTAATGGGGTTTAACATCCTATTGTTTGGCTCAGATTCGGCTAATAAAGACAGGCGTTTGTAATGAACAAAGAAAAACATATCCTGCAGAAGTTTATCAGTGAGTCACAAATGACAAAATATTTATAAAAAAATGTGTAGAATGGTGTAAACTGTTGCCGTTCAATTTGGACTATTCACATATTCACCGATCAAAATTGATTAGAAATTACAATACAATTTTATAAATTGAAAATCAATCTTTTTATATACATAAATATGTGCTTTTAGTATAGAGCCATACACCCCTTATTATGACAAAATAATACTAAAAAAATGTGTAGAATGGTGTAAATATCAATAAAGAAAAATCAACAAAATGCTCGAAACTAATATAGTTATATGAGATAACAATAACTGGTGTATTTACTATTTGAACTATTCACATATTCACCGAACATAATAAATTAGAAATTACAAAACAATTTTATAAATTGAAGATAAATCTCTTTATATACATTAATATGTGCTTTTAGACCCATTTTCGTCTATTTTAACGTTCCAATGAATAGAGCCATACACTCCTCAACTTAGTTCGCCCATTTATCGTCACTAGATAAACTGTTATGCTGCATTTAACTTGTAACTAAACAAGGAAATTGAGAGTCGCTACAACACTAGTCAGGCAGAACTATCATCTGCACACAGAGATCGGGTGCCCCACCAAAAATAAATATATCAATAATTATATCACAGTATTCATATATAATCAAGCCCCAACTTAGTTTATCCCATTTATCGTCACTAAATAAACGGTCATGTTGCATTTAACAAGTTATAATTATAACCATTTAAAGTCACAGTGCAATAAAAAATTTGGCTGAAATTGTAAATTCAAGCGGACACTGCATTTTTGAGTGCAAAATACATTTAGGTCACATGGCCATGGTTTGAACACAGGAGTCTGAATTTCTGTTTGTATATACCTACACCATACCCTACTAGACAATATACATGTACAATAAAAAAGGAACTGGAATGTAATGCTCACATTGAAATGTGGTCGTATATTGTCGTCGCCCCCATCCGTCCGGCGTCCACAATTGACCTTTCCGTCGACTCCACCCACAATAAGGCTTTGACCAGTCAGCTCCGATTACAGTTTTCCGCGAAATGACATCGCGTTACCATGCTTCATCACCTTAGACAAACTACTGTATGTGAAATTTGACATTTTGTCTTGTGTTGAAACGTCGTCAATCGTGGTTTAGCATTGCTCACACAGACATCGTAACAGCGATAACTGCTATCCAGACAGGTAAAGGATGGTGTAGTGTGCATTCCCTTCCTGAAACAGTTAAAACAAATGTGGGATGTGTCTTCTAGGCCTAATGGATAAAAACTGTTGTCGACGTCACTCCCAGTTAAATGTAAACAAACGTCAATTCTAACCGGTCAAGTGTGTTCTAATGTAAGTGTGTTGAAACAACGTCAATCATGGTTTAGCATTGCTCACACAGACATCGTAACAGCGATAACTGCTATCCAGACAGGTTAAAGGGTGGTGTAGTGTGCATTCCCTTCCCGAAACAGTTAAAACAAATGTGGGATGTGTCTTCTAGGCCTAATGGATAAAAACTGCTGTCGACGTCACTCCCAGTTAAATGTAAACAAACGTCAATTCTAACCGGTCAAGTGTGTTCTAAGGTAAGTAAATTAGTTTTTGGGGGGCCAAATAACATTTATTTTTATATAAACTATTCCATGAGTTATAAATGTGGACGTATTATGCCGTCGCCCCTGTTTGCCCGTCCGTCCACAATTTGTTTGTGAACACTCTACAGGTCACAATTTTTATCCAATTTCAACAAAACTTGAAATATAGGTTTATCTCCCTAGGATCTCGTTTCCTTTCGATATTGGCATGTATTGGACCGTAACTTCATGGATTGTGGCCCTGATTGTACGAAAAATCGCGTTTTTAGCTTGTGGACCCTTTAGAGGTCACAATTTTTATCCGATTTTATTAAATCTTGAAATGTAAGTTTATAACCCAAATATCTCAGTTCCTTTCGATATTCGCGCATATCTGACCGTAACTTCCTGAATTATGGCCCCTGATTGTACGAAAAATCGCGTTTTTAGCTTGTGGACCCTATAGAGGTCATAATTTTTATCCGATTTAAAAAAACGTTTGAATATATCCCCGTTACACCCTAAGAATGGTGGAGTTTGAATTTCAAATAGTGTAAAAATATGGTATATCAAGGTTGTGGACCCTCTAGAAGTCACAATTTTCTTCTGATTTTGATGAAACTTGAAATGTAAGTTTATAACCCAAAGATCTTGGTTCATGTCGATATTTGCGCATATCGGATCGTAACTTCCTGGATTATGGACCCTGATTGTACGAAAAAATCGAGTTTTTAGCTTGATGTCCCTCGAGAGGTCACAATTATTATCCGCTCGATTTAAAAAAAACATTCAAATATATCACTGTTACACCGCAATTTTGGTTGAGTTCGAATTCCGTGAAAATCGGACGGAAATTGCCCAACAAAATGGCAACCCCTCGTACACATTTAGTGTAAACATCTGGTATATCAAAGTTGTAGACCCCCTCGAGGCAATCTGATTAAAACACATCCTATTTAAGTACTTCGTTTCGTTTTTATAGTTCAAAATTTCGTTTTACTTGTCTTTACTACAAATATATCACCGTTACACCATAATTTTGGTTGAGTTCGAATTTCGTGAAAATCAGACGGAAATTACCTGACAAAATGGCCACCCCTCGTACACAATTAGTGTAAACATCTGGTATATCAAAGTTGTAGACCCTCTCGAGGCAATCTGATTAAAACACATCCTATTTGAGTATTTCGTTTCGTTTTTATAGTTCAAAATTTTGTTTTACGTGTCTTTACTACACTAGGATCTGGAAGAGTTGTTATCATTGACGTGTTCTGACTGATGTGAGGGCATAGCCAATGAAATGGTCTGTTACGGCGAGGTTTAGGCGTGTTTTTTTATGGAACTGTGGGTAATCCACTAGTAACATCAATGCTGATTGGTTAATCAAATGCCTGACTTCAAAGGGTATGACCCCTGACGCGACCTATTGCTATAACCGGTCAGATCTTCATATAGTGTAGGCCATCGAAAGTATAAAAAACGAAACGAAATATAGATCTGTATTTTAATCAGATTGCTCTCGAGGTCACAATTTTGATCTGACTTTGATGAAACTTGAAATGCATGTTTATAACCCAAAGATCTTGGATCCTTTCGATATTTGGGCATATCGGATGGTAACTTTCTGAATTATGGACCCTGATTGTACGAAAAATCGCGTTTTTACTTTTTAGTTTGTGGTCCCCGTAGAGGTCACATTTTTTATCCGATTTAAAAAAAAAACATCTGAATATATCACCATTACACACTAAGATCTTGGTTCCTTTTGATAATTGCGCATATCCGAAAGTATCTTCCAGGATCATGGCTCCTGATTGTTCGAAAAATCGCAGTTTTAGCTTGCACAATTTTTTTTCTGATTTTAAAAACTGTTTAAATATATCACCATTCCATAATAAAGAAGGTTGAATTTGAATTTTGGGAAAATCAAAATGAAACTGCCTGACAAAATGGCCGCTCTTTGTACTCAAATTGTGTAAAAGTATGCAATATGAAGGTTGTGGACCCTCTAGAGGTCACAATTTTTATCCGATTTTGATGAAACTTGAAACATGTCTTTATATCCCAAAGATCTCAGTCCCTTTCGATATTTGCGCATTTCAGACCATAACTTTCTGGATTATTGCCCCTCCTGATTGTACAAAAAATCCAGTTTGTTTTTAGCTTGTTCTATATCCATCTCTTGCAAAATGTGGGCGTATCCAGCCTGGCAGCCGCTGGTCATTTAGCCAAATAACAATAAAATATTATGTAATCTACGCCTTTATCGTATATAACACGTCGTCTGCTAACATCCGCCATTTGTCAAAACGCCGGGAGCGATCTCTGTACTGTAGTGCATGTTACTGATACTGCCCCATCTTCTTTTATGGTATTTTTATGAGTTATCTCACATTATTCCATAACATTCATTCAGTTCATATGCTTCTCAGTTCCCATTCCGTATTGCAGAATTCGCGAACAAGGTAGGAATTTCTATGACCACCCCTTCCAGCTTCAAGGCCCACAGTAGGCTAGGCCTAGATAGTCTAACCGGATGGTCTGTATGCTCTTATAGGCCTATTGCCACAATCAAATGAAGGCTACACTAGAGGTCTAGGCCTAATTCTAAGATGGTTTGTCAAGATAGGCAATATAGGCTAGACGAGATATGCCTTCTACAGGCATTCAATTTTGGTTTGTTGAACCATAGTACTAGTAGTCTTAAATGTAATGCTTGAGTACTTTGTTTGTATTTCAAATGACATGTTAAATAAACTGATTTTTAGCACTTTCTGAAGCTGCCTGGACCAATAGACACTAATCCAGAACCATATTCAGCTGATCATAGTGGAAGTATAACATTTAACCAAAACTAACAAGAGATGCAGCTCAGGTAGGGATAATCAAGACTACTTTTTTACGAAACACGACAAAAATTTAGAAACACGCACGTTGCGCAACTCAACAATTGTTTTAAGAACCTTGTAAAAGTAAAAAGGAGGGAGGGGCTGACAAGGAAAGCTGTCTAGTCGTTCGGATGGGATGAAAAACCGAGGTCCCGTGTACACATTGGCGTGCACATAAAAGATCCCTTGGCAGTTGGAATTCGATATAAGAGTAGGCCGTAGTGCTGCTGTCCGGGCAAAATTTCCCTCATAGCACACTGTATGGCGTATGCCCGTCTTCATTAGCCCAGGTTAGGAGCAGAACAGTAGGACGTTAAACCCCATTTCATTTCATTTCATTTCATTTTGTAAAAGTAAAATGAAACAACTGCTAGTATCATGTTCTTGTCTAACCCGAGTGATTCAGAGATATTATTTGTACTAAACCAAAAGATGCAGCTCCTAATGGTACAGTTAATGATAAACCAATTTAAAAAATAAACGAACGTAATTTTTAAAGCTGCTGTAATAGCCAATAAGCTAAATATTACTGCTATTCAGAATCGTCAACAATAGATTTTTTACGGCTGTAATAGTTGCTAGAAGTGTAGAGAATTGCATGTGCGATGGCTATTTATAGTATCATAGACTCTATCGCTGAGTGCTTAGTGTATGCGAGAGATCACTTCAAGATAAGCCACAGAAGCGTGTACATTAGCCGTGCCGAGACCAACTTTCTGTACGGCGCATGGGTCACTCTAACAAGGGACATTAATACAGATCATACAAAGATAGAAAAGTGTTACTGCCATTTTTCTTGTTACTATTCTTTCCAAATAAACTTTTCCACTTAAAATTTGTTGTTTTGTCTTGCTAGTCATATTAAGGTGAAATTTCAGGGTAAATATTCATCATTTAATTTCATGACACAAATTTGTTGGGTTTCTTGATGCTATAAAATAGCATGTTTTGATTTTTGATGCTGGTGTCAAGTGGAATCATACTGCAACTTCAATGGATAAGCTTACATCTTGTAAATATTATTTCAAAAATACATGTATGTAAAATTCAATTTAGACCTATATAGACACACCACATTATTTATGTGTACATTTTATAATCAGTCTAAAATATTATTACTTCTTTTTTCTTTTACAGCTACATTCCTGAAGAAGAAAAAAAAATACCAAGAATTAACAAAAAAATTTATTGGTATTTTAAAAGTTGCTTTATTGCTGATGAGCAAGCTTGATCGTGAGGACTTTAAAATAAAAGAAGAGAAAGTCTATAGTCTGCTAAGTTGGAATGTTTAATATAACAAAAACATAATTATATAAGAACAGTTACAATGTTTGACAGAATGTGTCATATATGAAATAAGTGAAAAACAGAATTTAATATATCAGAATGAACATAACAGGAGAGGGGGGGGGTTATACTCGCTTGACTGCGAGAGGCACTATTTGGAATATCACGTGATAATTTTGTGAAGTCATGGGCTATCAGTGGAGATCACGTGAGGTATGGAGTCACTGGGATTCCCCACACGTAGATCACGTGACGATTTTGTGACGTCATGGGATATCAGTGGAAATCACGAGATGTGGACATGCTAGATGTCACGTGATACGTGACGACACAGGAATCCTGACAGGTACGTCACGAATTGGGGAAACCCAGGACGACACGATTATAGTGGATATAATAATGACTTAACCTTAATCGCTGAATATAAACATAAATAGATACAAATGACCTTTAACGTTAATACGCTGAATATTCGTAGGACCATACGAACATGTGCGGATACAATATATATATAATCCTAATACATGTAAATACAACCAAGAATCTCAATAGGTATGTCACGTGATTGGAGAAAACAAGAGTGACACGAATAATGAATATGATATAAAATATATCGTCGGTCTCCGCTTAAAACCTCGTTTAACCGATTTTTGGCCAAAAACACTTTTTGATACCATTGTAAAGCTCGTAAAAGCGCGCTTCTGGATATCAAAACCTCTTTTAGCTTCGACAGTCACGTGGCATCTATTTACTATAATACGAGGTCATTTTAGCCAAGTAAGACATTGACTTATCAAGATAAAACGTAAGTTTCGTTTAAACATTACTAGAATTATGAAAGTTTCATTGTTTTTGTGCCATTCAGTATCACACTGTTTAATTCTGGCATAGAAAAATAAGTAAATTTAATATGTAATGTTCGTGTATTACTGAATGTGTCACTATGACTAAATGTCACTTGGTCTAGATTTTACACGTGGTCCAGATTTTCCATTAGACCAGTGATTCTCAACCAGTGTGCCGCTAAATCTTCCTAAGTGTGCCGCAAAATTTTAAACGGCACACCAAGAAAATTTCTTACTAAAGAAGCTAGCTATTTGACTGACGAAATTCGAAACACTGCAATAAAGTAAGCTCATAGCCGTGTTTTTCTTTATTTAGTTCGAGTCATTCAAATATTTTTCACACATATTTAGCCAGGTGTGCGTCTATTTTCTCATGTGTTCCAAGGTGTGCCGTTGGCAAAAAAAGGTTGAGAACCACTGCATTAGACAAAGCCTTTAAGCCTACAAACACGAACAATAGCTACGCTGTTTACTTAGGCTGTACCAAAACATGTCATAATAATAGAAAAATGGCCCAATTAAACGCCTTTGTTCTTGCTTTTACAATGGAGAGAATCGCCATGGACATCCTTGGACCTTTGCCGCTCACCAATATAGGTAATCGATATATAATAGTAATCAGCTTTACCAAATGGACAGAAGCTTCAGCTCTACCCACCCCTAAAAACCCAGCTTAGGCATGGGCCTTAGGGGACCAGGCCGCGGTTCATGGCAAAAAAAGAAAAAAAAATCAAATTGCAGATGAAAGTTTCACGGTAATCGATCTAGCGGTGCGAGGTTGGAGACTGAGCTATCCCTCAACCTTCTCTGTGAAGTTCCACTCGGTGATCGGTCTAGGCTTCCCCGCTGTTATATGCCATTTCCGCGCATTGTATGCCATTCAGAACTTAATAGATTTCGTATGAGATCAGCTATTATGTAATCATTCTTCTATATATTACACACCGTTTAATCGTGTGTTGCGCATGACAATGTGTGCCATTCAAAAGGATATGAATAATCTTTTAGTCGCGTTAGGGGCCCTGCGATTCTTGTCAGGCCCAGGGCCCCGCTCCTTAAGCTGGGCTTTGCCACCCCTGAAGCCAAGACTGTAGCTATGACATTAAAATGCCGACCAGGGAACAAACTAACAAAGTAAACTCTTTCATGATGTCTGTTCTCTGAAAGACATACATTAGACTAGAACGACTAGTTTCTGACCCCAATCAAATGGAAGTGTAGAAAGATCACTATGTATTGTGAAAAAGACCAGAAATTGTGGGATGAATATTTACCACAAGTCATGATTGCCTATTGATCATCTGTTCTTTCAAGTACAGGCAAAACCCCGAATATGATGTTTTTTGGCAGAGATAACTTTACCAATGCAGACAATGATTGGGCAACCAGCAAAGGAAGTAACTGAACAAGATGTAGACAAATATTTGTCATGTCTTCAACACAAAAACAAACAATGTCACGAGATAAGTTGGAAGTTCCTTGTTACAGGCCAAGAAGAGGAGTCTGAAAAAACGACAGACAGTATGGTTACACAATCCTTTGAGAAAAGTCGGTGTGCAGCAAGATCACTTCTTTATGGAAAGGGCCATATCTTGTTCGGAAAATCTATGATGTAACGTACCAAAGAAAACAGTCCATGAAGAAAGCACCATGCGTTTTTCACTTAGAAAGGCTTCTACCATACAAAGGAAGAAAACTTCCCACCTGGATAGGAAAACTTAAGGATTCCAACGTCAAATTTTTGTAGATTGCGTCGATGTCCCATTGTCTGTATATATGTTGTTGTTAGTCTTTACAGATTAAATATTTCTTAAATGTTCTAAGTTAAACAGATGGTAAACGAATGAAGTAATCCGGTCTTCTTATGCTATGTAGTTGTCCATTTTAGAAGTTTTTAAGTAAGAGAAATGATATTGCTGTTAGTCAGCATCCTTGAAGAAGGTAAAAAGAAGTCTTGAGTTTGAGATGCAGTGATTCCGTTACGGAAATTGATATTGGATAATTAAAGGCTGACAGTGAAGAGTGTGGATAGGAAGTATATCCATTGAAGTAATTTGTCAGTAGAGATTTAGCCTGATCAACCAGAAACCTACTGACACAGGATCTTTCCAAAGGAATTCGGAGCTGCATTGAAAGTACCGAACTCAAAGGGAGAATTAATGGAGGTTGGGAGCAATAGCCTATTATAGAGAAACCGTAAGGACATAGTATACGTTGATGATGGCTGTTTGATTATAATATGACCTATGCCCGAATAGTTACGTTCTTAGATACACATGATGGCATTATTGATATCGTTTTATAGTCTGCAAAACTTAAGGTTTTCACATTATTATACATTTTAGGCTTTCCAAGATGTCTAAATAGAATTGCGGGATTGGGTCTTGCCTTGAGTCGTTGCAACGAAGAAACAACTAAAGAACCACTTGGCTGCTGCTCCCCATGAACGAATGAAGGTTGTGTATTTATTCTGTCGAGATTTCCGATCCTTCAGTCGTATAACGCCATCACCCCCCAAGTCTACATACGAGTTGCCACGGTACCAAAGTGGGCTTCACCACTATCCCAGCTTACAAGACAGATGATGCTAGACTGGATCCGTAACTTTTCAGATCCTTTCCGGTCAGAAGAAGAATGGACAGAGGATGGAGAACCCTCAAAGGTGACCGCGAGAGTGTCAGTGATGTGTTGCCTATCTGTGCCGAAGGGAAGATAACGCCAACACCTTCACTGGAGAAGTATTATCCTCATCAACCATCGTTCAACCTTGCCGATCTGGTTACTCTTACAGATCTCACTATTAGAAGGATGGCAGAGTTGCGCTGTTCGCGACTGATGAAGATAAGGTGTGGTACAGGGTCACCCTAAAGAAAAGCGCCGTACAAGACCCTCGGACCTTGGGTTCTTTAACCTGAAAGTTAACTCTTCTACCAAACTGAGACCGCCTGGTGTTGGCATCGCCCTTAAAGGATCCCATTTGGGAACGAGGAAGTTGACCTTGACCGAATTTCTTGGAGTATCTTCTGACTCACTAGACAGGAGAATGAAATGGAACAAACCTTTTGTCTGCACCCGTAAGCTGAAGACCACAGTATCTCTTCAAGATATCTCACCGGTTACCGTAGAGATGGAAGCCGCCATACAACCTGTATTGCTAGATACTCCACCAAGTTCTCCCCTAAATAATCCGATCAAGAGAAGCCTCAGTCCGGCACCAGTTCCTGCTCAGAAGCGACCATGTCCAAAAAGAACACCAGCACAGGAAGCAGCAGACCTTCCCAGTCGTGGACGCATGCCACTATTGCCACCAGCCAGACACGATTGGGAAGACAGTCGGGTTCCAGTCGCATTTGGATGAAAGACCGTGGTATGGCTCCACATAGACTTGCAGAAGATGGAGCTGGAATATGCGGCCATGACTTTGGAAGATGGATTTCAGTCTAGGACACCAGTAATATCCCGCCACTACCTCCTAGACAACATGATGACACTACTGGGTACCCTATACCACCTACAGGAAAGGGCGTCCAGCACAATTCCTGTAAATATGAGTATGAGTACCCGAGCCTTGGACACGGATGCGACTCGAAGCTCCTGAGGTATATAATGGTAACTAGCAACATGGGTAGTATGGTATTGGTATGATTTGGTATGTCTATAGCATGAATCTGGTTGGTATTGGTGTGGCGATGGAAGAATTGGTATCTCTATAGTATCCGATTGGTATGATGATGGGAAGACTGGTCCTGCCCTGCCACAGTATGATGATGGGAAGAATGGTCCTGCCCTGCCACAGTTGACGTTACAGATCCCGAGTATCTGATGTTTTAAGTGGGGGTGGGGGTCCCATACGAACGACTAGACGCTGTTCCTTGCCAGACCCTCTCCAACCGGCACAGCTGACAGCTGGAAAATCCCGAGGAACTGTCTAGGTCAACACCAGGATCGAATCCGGGATGCCATGGTTTGCGAACCAGTGCCTTACTCACTGAGCCACTGCGGATCCCGGTGTCCTACCCATATTAGCCCTTTTGCATTGTATCGGGAACAGTACTTATCAGTTTTCCAAAATCACGACCCATCTGAAAATTCTCGTTATTACAAAATTATATAATTGTCATATGAAATATATCAGACACATGAAATTATTATATTATTCCATTTTTATAAAATTTCGAAATCTCAAAACTAATTATTTTAACATTGTTTTTGTTAAACTTGTATTTAAACTTTCGTTGATCAAAAAACACGTACCAGAAGAAATGGTCATCTTTCTAGAATCAAAAACACGTATATAACATTTTTGGATTATATTTTGGAATAAATAAATATTTTCACTTGAAAATGTTCATGAAACAAAACGCACACATATTTTCACCAAATTGATACCCGATGTTATTAATAAAAATGCGGCAGTATTATGTAAAACAAATTTTATCGGTTAACTCCTTTACTAATTTTCCGCATTTTTTCGTTATACAAGGTTTCAAGCGGAGACCCTCGATATCTATATCGTGAAACGTGTAAATAGATAATACGAGGTTTCAACCGGAGACCCACGATATCTATATCTTGAAACGTGTAAATAGATAATAATGACTTTTACGTTAATGTTGCACTTCGTAGAACAATACGAACATGTGGATATAATATATATATATATATGTATATATATAAATATATATATATGAAAAGTTAAAGATAACTACTCTTAGGTATTAGATACACAAAAATATAATGGTTTTTTGAAAAAAGAACTACATTATTTGTCGATTACTAGCACTTTCGTTTATTTTATTA